TGCACGTTCCGACGGAAAGGCCGCCTGCCGAGCCAACAGCCCCCAGTCCCTGCTCCGGGTCTGGCTTTCTCGGCCTTCCAAATCCAAGTGTGTCTTGTCAAATCCCGTGCTGCTCCTTTGTCCCACACACATGGCCTCGTTTCCTGGACAGTGGTCCTCATGGGAGAAAATCTGAGCTCTCCTGGGGTCAGAGCCAACCCGGCTGGGCATGGGGGAGGCATTTGCAGGGGCAAAAGAAGGCCCAGGAGCCTGGGCAGTGAAAAGCACTGACCCATCTGCTGGCGCAGGCACCGGACTTCCGGATCATAACAGCTTCCCTCCCGCTTCCTGGTCCTGGTTTCTGCGGTTTGGGGAAAGAACTGCTCTGGCGAAAGTAGCTCAGTGTAGGTATTTTTATTTTTTCCACATTCTTGCTCCTTTTTGAATAGTCTTTTGTGTTGTTGCATGTGTGGTGTAGTATGCTGTGCTGTGCTGTGTTGTGTTGTGTTGTGTAGGTTTTCCCCGCGGCCAGCTGACACAGCTTCCGGCCATCTTTCGCCCAGGTGAAGGCAGCGCGTAGTGTGGAGGGGAAAAGCGGGTTTTGTGACTGGGCCCGGCCGCTCCGAGGTACGTGAACATGCGGGATGTCACCAGCCTGTCTCTTGGATCCGAGGGCTAAAGCTTTGTGTTCTGTGTTCCTGCTGGTCTCGGCGATCTCACCACCATCTACAAGGACTCTCACCCATCCTGGTTCATCTAAGAACAATATGTGTAAATAAATTTGGGGGCTAGTTTAAGGTCCCCTTCTTTCTAGCATGATTAATTGTACATATTTTTTAATTTTAAAAAATGATATACTGGCGGGGCTGGGGATTTAGCTCAGCGACACAGTGCCTGCCCGGCAAGCGCAAGGTCCTGAGTTCGATCCCCGGTACCGGAAAAAAAAAACAAAAAAGATATACTGGCAATCTGCTAGGCCCCTTTGTCCAGAGGACATTGGGAACTGGCCATCACCCCTTTCCTGCCCCGCAGCTGCTGGGTCACGTTGCTGGTCAGCTTCACAGCTCATCCACACAGACGCCCCGCGGTGTCTGCCACAGACGGGGCTTCCACTCCCCGGTACAGCCAGCCTAAGCCTCTCTGCGAAGACCACAGCCCACTGCCCACTCTGGGGAGACGGCCACCATCTGTGACAGGGACAGTGTGTCCTTGCATCTGAAGCGTAGCACGGAGCCTGGTCCGTAGTAGGCACTTAGTAATTTTGGCGAGAAATGGAGTTCTCCACCCAAACGAGTCAGATCGTTTTGTGTGTGACCTTGGACTGTCTACCTAGCCACCCACGCTCTTCCGCTGTTCTGCTCGGCACAGCCTATTGGAGGAAAAAGCGAAAGCGGTTATGAAATCCTCGGAAGCATGCTGGAGGCGGGGCGGGTGGGGGCAGATGGAGGCAGGAAGTGAGCTTGAATTTTCAAGGAGTGCAACAGAAGTGACACCTCTAAAAAATTAATAACCTTTGGATGGGATAGCAAGAACTGGAAAAGGACAGTCTGTGGGGCACTCCTGCCACCTAGTGGCTAATCTGCAAATGACAGGTGTGTTAAGAGTCCTAAAGAAAAGGTTCCCTCATCAGGGTAGGTAATAAAAATCTCATCATCTTAAAATATTGGCGCTCACAGGGCTTTATTAGGTTCAGTCACAGGCGGACTGTCAACAAACGCTGAGAGCTCCTGCTTGCCGGGCTCCTGCCGTGCAGTGGAGAACAGTGAGGGGAGCAGGGGCAGGCTCTGAAGCGCCACCCCAAGCTGGAGAGCAGGGGCACTCGGGTCGCAGAGACCAGGCTGCCCACCCTCGCGTCCACCCAGATTCTGTTCAGGGGCCCAGGAACTTAGGTGAGGAAACAAATGAACCTCACCCTGAAATTTAATATATCCTTCAAGTATGAATTGGGCAAAAAGCTGTGATACAGGAAGCTGTGACTTCATCATCGGTGGAAACTACAAATGTTTGATATCACAGTTGTCATGGAGATCTCAGATCATTTGGTCATCACTATTTTGAAAGTGCAGTGATTATTAGACCTGCTGCTAGATCTTACTATACTAATTAAGAAGCACATATATTTCTAAATCCTTGACTTTTTAAAATATTTTGATGCCTGATTTTCATCAAAATATTTTGTTGCCTAATGTGATTCATTCCTTTGAAGTTCTTTTTTTGTTTTTTTGGGTTTTTAAAATTGTTTATATTTGAAAACATTCTGTAAAGACGTGTATGGCACAAGAGGTTAAAGGTCACTGCTGTTGGAGCTCAAAGAAAGGACAGGTGACTACGCAATGCCGTAGGCAGAGAGGGCTTCCGGGAGGAGACAGGACAGAGGTCTCCTCACTTGACTGAAAAGATTGCATGGAGCATTTCAATACAGGCCTTATCTGGGGAGCAGGGGCAGAGCTTGGCAACAGTGGAAGAATAGGGAGGCTTCTGTTACTCTTCCCGTGTCCAACTCAGCCGGGGCTCCCTTGGGAAAGAATCGGAGACGCTACTTCACACTAAAAGATAGATAACTGGAGACGATCTCATTTCAGAAGGATTTTCATTCAACGGTACTCAGTGTTTACGAGCACACGGGCCGACCCTCTGGGTAGAAGGCAGGGGGTGGCACGCTGGCTCGTACTCACACCCCCCTGTCCCCCACGCACTCAACTTGCCCACAGAAACCGAGTGAGCAGGAGTTAGAACCAGCAATTCGCGGGGAGCCCACCGGAACCCAAGGAAGAGGAACCACCCTGCTCAGATCAGCAGGAATGAAACTGCTTAGAAATCTCAGCAACGGTGCCTGGTGACCAGATCTCACAGCCCAGCTTCTCAGAGTGACTGGAGCACTGGCGTCACCAAGGATCTGTGGACAGTAGATTCTGACTCAGCTGGTCTCGCCGGGGCCTGAGGTTCGGCGTTCATAACCTCCACCCCCAAACCCTGAGCAGCTGCGCCCCTAAGTCCTTGAGAGAAACTGTGCTGGCTCAGACTGGGTAGAAGCCCCAGCTTACCCCCCAGATCTGTGGCCAGTGGGGCAGGGTGGGAAGGGGGGGTGTGCCCGCTCTCTTGCAGCAGGCAAAAGGTGAGGCCAGCCTCCTTGAGAGAGGGGCACCAAACCTCAGCCTGGAGGCTGCACCCTGAGGCGGAGGAGGCTGTGGCCCTAGGACTGTGCTCGGGCTCCACGGAGTCTGTCTGTCCACACCTGCTCCTGTGCCATCTTGTCCCCGCCCAGTGACTTGCCTGGGCTGCTGATGAGACTGTTACTGATGGGCTCCAGGCTCCCATTAACCCACAGGCTATAAGGATGGTCACTTCCAAAACCCTGAGGAAAAGCACCCAGGCACACCCGGCTTAGCACCGCTGCATCCTCGGCCCCTCGACAAGGTCACCCTGTTCCCAGCTCGCACCAACACAGCCCACACCGTGCTGCGCCCCGCACGATGCCTCTCCATCAGCCCTGGCTCCTGACAGCCACGCCCTCTGCCAAGACCACTCGACCCGGCTGTGCGTCGCATTCTGCTCTCGGGGACAGACCGGGCCAGGCCCTCACCCGACCTTCTTAGGTATCCCCACAGCCGCGGGAAGGGATACTCGGCCTGCTTCAGTCCTGTGGCACTCCGCCCACTCGGGCCACTCCCTCACTCTCCCACCCGTGCCCGGGTACAAGGACCTCTGCAAGCTCTCTGCCCCTCCCTGCACAGCAGGGCCCCGAATCCTTGGCCGGCATGGCATGGGTCCGTCCCCAACCCCCGGCCCGAGGGAGGATGATGGGAAAGTCACGGACAGCAAATGTGGGTGATGACGTCACACGGAGCCCTCCATGCTGAGACGCACTGTCCCTTTCCACAGGGAAGTTCAGGGTCTCCTGGAAAGGGACGCCTGACCTCATTCCCAGACATCCACCTACCGCGGTCCCATGCAGTCCCCCACTGCTCTGTGTTCTGCAACGACCCGCACCGCCCCCCGCTGCTTCAGGATTCAAGGCGAGAGCGGCTCTGGTCCAGCTCTGTCAGAGCGGACCCCGTGTCTGAGGTGGGGGTGGGTGGCACGCACAGGCTGGGCATGGGCGGGTCTGACTTCCTCTACGTGGCCTCTAGCAGCCCCTCTCGGGCTCCCCACTTCCTGTCCACGGCCTCGGCACATGGGCCTTTCTGGAATTCTAGGAGAGCGCGCAGCTTGCTTCCTTCGGCGCCACCCACGTCCTCACTGCTCGGCCTGCTCCCCGCACCGCTGGCCAGAGGCCTGGGATAAGGCCAGCCCTGGAGGAAGGGGTTTGCGCTGCTGATCGCGAAGAATTTCTACAGCGAGGGACACAGATGTCCTTCTATCACCTTGTTGCTGTTTGTTTTTGAAACCCATCTGTGTCGCGTCCTCAGAGCCTGGGGACCGGCACTCGGATGAAGAAGCTCCCCCTGCGCCCCTTATCTCAGCCCCGCACTGTCTCCAGCCCGCACCTCCTCTCTCTCAGTCTACCAAGGGGACAAAGGTACTAGTGCTGCTGGTGGCCTGGAGCTGAGTGCCCGGGGTGTGACACGGGAAGGTCTGTGCCCACCTCTCTGGGGCACTAAGGAGAGTGGCCTGGGCACCCGTCAGACCCAGGGATGAGCTTCGCTGTCCCCCTCCAGCACGCACTCACTCATGCATTCACCTGACTCATTCATTCGTTCGCCTGGCGTTTGTGTCAGACCCGAAAAGCAGGAGACCCTTCAAGCCCTGCCCCAGAGGGGCTGTCCGCATCTCCACAGCTCCCCACCCAGTCTCCAGTGAGGAAGGGACAGGCTGGGTCTTCAGCTAGTGGACAGCACATGACCAAACACCTGCAGGCCATACTGAGTGTTTTATCTATTTTATTTTTCATTGTGTTAATCCTCTTAACCGCTCTAGGTAACTTATTTGGTGTTTTGTTTTGTTTTGTTTTGTTGTTTTTTTGTTTTGAGACGTGGTCTCACCGTGTTGTCCAGGCTGGCCTTGAACTAACAGTGATCCTCCTGCCTCAGCCTCTCAAGTTCTGGGATTTCAGGTACGCGCCACGCCCCTGCTATCTTAGTCACTTTTCAGATAAGAGACCGAAGTTTAGAAATTTCAAAGAGGAGTAGCAGGCCCAGGATGTCACCTTAGGTCTGCCCAAGTCCAAAGCTCATGCCCATTCCTCACTCCTGGCTGGGTCTTTAGATCACTGAGAGATGAAGGCAGACAGCACAGATGTTTGCACACCTCCTGAAAAGCGCTCGAATACCCTGGGAGAGGGAAGGCTAAGTCCCACACGAGGGAGAGTGACGTGCACGGGTGGCAGATCATGCTGTGAACATCCCAGGCCCACCTTCCCTCAGGGAAATATTGAATACGGAAAGGCAGGTAGGTTGACAGGGCCACAAAGCCAGGAGGACACGAGCAGCGGCCAGCCACAGAGGAGGCCCCATCTTGCCCGGGTGTGGTGACAGTCCTCAAGCACTGCCTCCCCCTCCTCCAGGTGTCAACGTAAGGTCCCTCCCTGTGAGCCTGGGCAAGACCTCCCAGAGAGGCAGCTCTAGGAAAAGGGTCAGTGCCTAAGGACCGAGGCTGTTGGGAGAAGAAAGAAAGGTAATTTCTTCTTCAATGGACAGAATGAAGTGTAGCATTTCCGGAAGGCCAGGGGGAGTGTTTCTAAGCTTGGGACTGGGAGGTTTCAATGTTACCTCACTAAAATTTCTGGCAAAGAAAGCAAGAGATCAGACCCAAGGGCAAACACTATGTATTCTCCTAGACAATGCCGTCATAATCCGCATGTGCCTAAAAGGGAAACAACCAGCCAGGCAAGGTGGCACACATCTGCAATCCCAGCACTCTGGGAGGGCGAGGCAGGGGGACTGAACATTCAAGCCCAGCCCGGGCAACTTGGCAGCATGTCTCAAAGTGAAGTTTTTTAAAAGGCTGGTGATATGGTCCAGTGCGAAGTCACTGTGTTCGTTCCTCAGTAAAGGGGCAGGGTAACGGGTGGGGGGGATGATTTCATTCAGAAGGGAAAAGGATGCCTAAATGGGGACAATGACTGAGTAGGGAGAATCTAGCCTGAAAAAAGAAGCAGGGTAAGCCAGGAGTGGTGGTGCATGCCTAAATCCCCAGCACTCAGAGGCTGAGGCAGAAGGATTGCCAAGTTCAAGCCCAGCCTGGACAACTTTGTGCCTTAGCAAGACTAAGACCAGGTGTCAAGGTCTCAAAATAAAAAATAAAAGGCTGGGGATGTAGCTCAGTGCAAAGGCCCTGGGTTCAATTACCAGCACTGCAAAGCCAAATGAAAAAGGGGACAGCCGAGGATGGGCACAGTACCTGCGGTAAGAGTGAGCAGAAGCAAACATCTATACTGAACAAACAAGCAACTAAAGGCCCATGTGGACAAAACCAAGTGCCATGTCATTTGTTTTATTGGTCACACAGCCAGAATTCATTATATAAATCTTTCAAAATAATGAGCTATTATAAGAATAGTTTACAAGTCAGCTCTGATTGCACAAAACTTGACACAGGAAACCATTTTTACAAATACATATGTTTTCTTATAAGAATACTTTAATAAAGAAAATAAGTCTCTATACGTCTTGCAGCAAATCTTACGCAGTTTCTTTTCCCCATTCAACTATCATTTTGGGTTTTCTTATAACATGTCAATCATATCCAACAAACTCATCTGCACCTTCTCAATTTCAAATACTACTGAGATTCACACTGTTAAAAGAGATTTTAGGCTTCCCTTTCTACTCTTTCCTGAAAGAATTCACGTATTCAGGCTAAAAGAGGTAATTTAAACAACATTCCTTCAAAGTAGAACTGGGATCAAGGGCTGGGGTGCAGAGCAGTGGTAGAGCACTCGCCTGGTGTGTGCGAGACCCTGGGTTCGATCCTCAGCACCGCACAAGAAAGAAAGAAAGATCAGCTTCATCACTGTGTTTGGTGAAAGACCTCTTCACTTCCCACTCAGGCCAGAGCAGCTAACAACTCAGACCCTCCTGCCTCAGTCCTAAACTACAAAAAGGGAACCCTGGAAACAAGAGTCAAATACAAATATTAAGAAAGCTAAAAATATGTGCTACTGATGACAGAACACTTTTAAACTCAAAATCTCTCCCAGGTTGAAGATCACAGACAAGAAGTAAAGTATGAGGATGTGGCAGTAGTTATATAAAATACTGAAAATCGGAAGAAGGCTAATGACTTAGGCCAGTGGTGTATCATTTCCAAAATGCCAGAGGATGCAGAATCTTACACTGTAATCAGCTAAACTCAGTATTTGACATCTTACGCTGTGGCTTTGACTAATAAACTGCCCCAAACAGGTGATCACCTACACCATGAAAGCTCTGCAGATCCCTGGCCATGCTCACCAGAAGAGACAGGGCACGGGGGGTACGTCTGGCACTCACCCCACCCCTTCCTTCCCTGTTACTGAAAAGCGCATCCACCTTGGCAAAGCTTTCTGTCCTACTTTCCAGATAGCATGAATCAAAATCAAGAAATGAGCAGAGCTCTACAGTTAGGTTCCTGAGTTCTCTGCGCCAATTCTTCAACATCCTTAGAAGGATTATTTCATTAAGACCATGTCCAATAAGAGATATAACAGCACTTAGGGTCTACAGGATACCCCATTTCTCTTCTATTTTTGTTGGTTTTTCTTTCTCACCCCAGTGTAACAAACTGCTACAGACTTTTACCAGAGTGCTGCAGCAGCAGCTGTGAATGAGTTACTGTGTTACCAGAAGCACTCCACCGCACTGTCGCACCTAACGAGGTGGCCAAATAACCTCTACTGCAGCGATTTTGCAAACTCAGCATAATCGATGTATCCGTCGTTGTTCTTGTCGTCATCTTTCAAAACACCATCAATTATGCTAATCAGTTCATCTTCGCTCATTAGTGGTGCCTGCTCACTCCCTTCCTGTAAAACAGAAATCAGACGGTGATGAGCTGTACAGTTGCTGGAGGAAGGGCTTAGCTAACGTCCACGCTCATGCGTGTCCAGAAACTCTTAAATGTAGTACCTGGCTACGTCTAGCAATCCACAAACTCATACATCAGTTAGCCTAGCCTGGGCAACTGAGTGACTCAGCAAGATCCCATTTCAAAATTTAATGCTGGGACTGTTGCTAGA